ATAAACGTTTCTGCTATAGTTTATATCACCCTGTATTAGTGTTAGGTGCTAAACGTTTCTGCTATAGTTTATAGCACCCTGTATTAGTGTTAGGTGCTAAACGTTTCTGCTATACTTTATATCACCCTGAATTAGTGTATGCAGTCATCTTATAAACTGCATTGTATTGTGTCATGTGCTTCATGTCTAAGTCTTGTGTTTAGCCTAAAGACAGTGAATTCTATGTGAATCTTACAGTGTTTTAACTTTCATGTACTTCTTCCAGAACTTGTGGTCCATTTGATTTTCCACATTATCTGGCAATATGGTTTGGAGTTACTTTGATGGACTGTCTTCTTGCACAGCATAACACTATATGTCTATAGAACACATAGTGTTTATATGGCTCTCTCATCTCTGGTACATATTGCAGTATAAATGCTGTTGCACTATTATTTCTTGAAGTTAGGGCCCATAGAATACACTGTCTGTACAGCTTTGGTACAAATATTGTAGTATCAGTGCTGTTCACTGTTCTGCTCTCAAATGAGGGCCCATAGAATACATTGTCCTTACAGCTTTGCTATAAGTATTGCAGCATCAGTGCCATTATACTGTTCTGCTCAGAAGTAAAGGCCTGTAGAATACACTATTAATACAGCTTTACAGCATCTGAAGAAGAATAGACTATGCTAGTGTAGAGCACAAGTTATAAACAAATGTGTTACTGGAGCTTGTTTTAAAAAAAAAATTAAAAATGATCGTAAATAGTCCATCGATAGTGGTATCTCTAAAAAGTACTGTTGTACATAACTTACACTACTCGCTGATGTTTTTCATCCTTGAAGATTTAGCCGTAGAGGTGGTACTGAAGACATATTAATGTATGCTACGTTATATTTCTTAATGTTGAAGCTTTTGTAACATGTAAGTAGCTTAAATTATTGTTTGTTGTCTGCTATTATGAAGGAATTAAACAGCAGAGCCCAAGGAGAGGTAACTATAAGAGAGGCTTTGAATGAGCTAGACCTATGGGGAGCCAGAGAAAGATTCTCTTTGACTGAACATGAAGATACTCATGGAAACAAAGTTATGCTAATCAAGGACTGGAGAGAAGTACTAAATAAGGTATTAGAACTTGTGCTGGTAAAAATTTATAAAAAAAACGAGTTGTCACCCATATTAATAATATGTGGAAGACGAAGTGACATACAAGTTAATGATGATAAAGATGAGGTTATATTCATGTTAGTAAAGTGGATAAGATCAAATTATGTTCTTGTTAATGAAATGGTTAAGATAAAGTTACATTCATAGTATAGTTTACATAGATGATGTATAGACTGTTGTATATTGGCGTAAGGACATACCTTTAACCATATACAGTCACAAAGATAGATTATATTGCCATAAGGACATATTCTGTTGTATGATGTTCAGTGGCTAACCATAGTTGGTTCAATATACCATCATGTAAGACCCATGAAGTGTTTCACAGGTACATCCTGTTGTATGATGTTCAGTGGCTAATCATAGTTGGTTCAGTATACCATTTTGCAAGACCCATGAAGTGTTCCACATGTACATTCTTGTGGATGGTATTCTGTAGATAACCACAGTTGGTTCAACTCTTCATTACTGTAAGATTCTCTAAGTGTCCCACATGTACATTCTTGTGGATGGTATTCTGTAGATAACCACAGTTGGTTCAACTCTTCATTACTGTAAGATTCTTTAAGTGTCCCACATGTACATTCTTGTGGATGGTATTCTGTAGCTAACCACAGTTGGTTCAACCCTTCATTACTGTAAGATTCTTTAAGTGACCCACATGTACATCCTTGTGGATGGTATTCTGTAGCTAACCACAGTTGGTTCAACCCTTCATTACTGTAAGATTCTTTAAGTGTCCCTCATGTACATCCTTGTGGATGGTATTCTATAGCTAACCACAGTTGGTTCAACCCTTCATTACTGTAAGATTCTTTAAGTGTCCCTCATGTACATCCTTGTGGATGGTATTCTATAGCTAACCACAGTTGATTCAACTCTTCATTACTGTAAGATTCTTTAAGTGTTCCACATGTACATTCTTGTGGATGGTATTCTGTAACTAACCACAGTTGGTTCAACCCTTCATTACTGTAAGATTCTTTAAGTGTCCCACATGTACATCCTTGTGGATGGTATTCTGTAAGATTCTTTAAGTGTCCCTCATGTACATCCTTGTGGATGGTATTCTGTAGCTAACCACAGTTGATTCAACTCTTCAGTACTGAAAGATTCTTTAAGTGTCCCACATGTACATCCTTGTGGATGGTATTCTGTAAGTGTCCCACATGTACATCCTTGTGGATGGTATTCTGTAAGATTCTTTAAGTGTCCCACATGTACATCCTTGTGGATGGTATCCTCTACCTAACCACTGTTGGCTCAACACCTTATCACTGGAAGAGCCATATAGTAATCCAGTATTGCAGTTATATGCCCTTAAAACTTGTAAGTTTCATAATTTGATTCTATGAATTATTGTAAGCATATTGTTATTGTTGATTGTACACATCCTTTGTGGTATAAACTTAAAGAATGTGTGTAATTGATGGTATAATGAAAACTTCCTTCAACTTTCTAATTCCCTGTACTCACTTCCTGTAGAGTCCCATGTTGCTGTACATTAAGGTTGAGATTGAGCCCTATTAATAGGTATATATAATTATGGTCTACAGTATTTCACAGAATAAATAATGATCTGACAAAAATTTTGTTGGAATCCATACTTATTGACTACTTTAAAGATTTTTTATTACAGGAACATTTTTTAAGACTTTGTTTTGGTGAAAGTTTCAGTGGTAATGTTTTAATTGAAACAGGTTGGTGATAACCAGTGTTTGATCCAGTCCCTCAAAGACTCTCCATATTATAAGAACTTTGCAGACAGAAGTTCTATTTGGGAAACACGACTGTCTACTTTAGATCTGTGTCTGCAACAACTTAATTTAATACAGAGAAAGTGGGTATATTTGGAACCAATTTTTAGCCGAGGTGCACTGCCATCTGAAGAATCTCGCTTCCAGGCTGTTAGTAACGACTTTAGGTAATACAGTGTTTTACATTTTAAATCAGTCTCTATACTACTTAATTATTGAAGTGATTCATGTTTTATTGGTAAAGGTTGTATTGTAGTAATTTATGATTTTAATAGAATCTCTCTCTCTCTCTTCATAAAATCTGTTTTCAACCATTTTGGTGAGTAAAACTAAAGAACTAATTAATACTCTATGTATCTAAGTGTGTATAAAAGGGTTGATACAGTATATTTTGTATATAAGTGTGTATAAAAGGTTGATACAGTATATTTTGTATATAAGTGTGTATGAAAGGGTTGATACAGTATATTTTGTATATAAGTGTGTATGAAAGGGTTGATACAGTATATTTTAAATC